TTGAACTGTTCCCTTTTTGTCCTGGCTTCACTAGCACCAACTACTGCAGTGATTGGCATACTGCATGCGATTCCCAAGATAAACCCAAACTAGGTTATTCACAAGATTAAACCCAAATTCAACTAGGAATCCACAGCGTCAAAACCATTCTGCCCCATTGAGCTCTTTGAGGTCTTTGCAGCAAAGTAATTGCTCTAGTATTTTTTCTGTAGTCAAAAAAAAAAAACAAACAAACCAACCAAAAACCCCAACAAACCAGTGAAATTTAGGTTTTGAAATAAGGTGCTTTAAATTCAGAACAAATGATGTCTTGAGTCTAAAAAAGGTTGAGAACCATCAGGCTAGTCCATGGACACATCTGTGGATAGGAAACAGTCAAATAGGCATGCCTGGCGATCACCCCTCTGAAGGAAACTTCTCTTCAATATGAATTGGCTGTGCTCCTTGTATTTTCCCATATGGTATTCAAATGGTTGTGTTTTGCTTTTTGAATAGTCTGATAAGCTGAGGTTTCAAATCATAGATCTCTTTGAGCTTCTTCTCGTCAACACAAGTGAACACAATATTGTCAAGCCTCTGAAAGTCTGTAAGAATGGCTTTCGTTCTTTTTTTTTTTTTTTTTTTTGTCTGGGTCTTTATTATATATTATTCATCTAAACTTAACATGACTACAGAAGAGCCCAGCATTTATAGCACCTTCACTTCTGGCACTGACAAATCCATCTGCGTGCTAGCCCCCACACAACAGATTTCTCTCTCCAGATAGGTGAAAATCTATCCTGACTGCGGGAGCAGAGATTTGTGACAAATATTGTTGGGGTTTTTTTAAAATATTTTAGTGGCTTATCTGTGACTGTTTGCAATTACAAAGCAAGTTGGCAAGAATTTTAAAACTCCCAAGGATTGCCATTTGAAATTTCAGAAGGTGACAATTAATTATTTTTCCTGTTGAATAGCAGTGTTTTATATATATATATATATATATATATATATAAAACACTGCTATTCAACAGGAAAAATAATTATGCATTTTTAAAATGAGCCCAAAATATTAATTGGCAAGCTCTGGCAATGACTTATAAGCATCACTTTCCACAGCTAGGCAACCTCCTCCCTCCCCAGAATGGACTTGCTTAATTGTCTTGTGCTGTAAATAGGGCTTGGAGTTAGAGCGTGTTAAAAATATTGACACCAGTTGACCCATTTTTAATCTACTCTTGTCTGTAATCTAATTTAATTCCTGTTTAACATTGCAGGTAAATGTTCATTCTTATGCTTTTTGAAACTCTAGGCATTTCTTTTAAATTTTTAATGGTCTTTTTACCAAGTGATTCTTTGTTCTAATTCTATGGAACAAGATAATAAGGAGAAATTAATCATGTTGTTTTTTTTTTTAATAGAGAATTGCTGTATTGAAACCCAACTCTTAACTTTTGCAGGACTGAAAAAAAACCCCATAAGCACAAATCCTACAGATTTGTGAACATGGCTAATTTTATGCATGTAAAAGTTCAGTGGGACCATTCAGCTGTGTAAACTTAAACACGAGTTGTAAGTGGTTGTTGTCACCATGGGGACTTCATTTTTTTTAAAAACCTCTTTCTTTTATTTCTTTACCTTTGTTGCCTTTCATTGGATGTTTTCATTCAGAGTTTCATCTTTAAAGATGATCTATAATATTTTCAAAATAAACAGATCAGGAATACAATTAATAAAGTGTATTGGTAATAGAATATATCCCTTGTGTATATGTGGACATAAAAAAAAAATCAGTTCAATACATCCTAAAACTAACTTTTCCTAATTTTATCTTACTTCCTGGGAATATTGGGGTTTTGGGGGTTTTTTGTTTTTTTCCTGGAAGCATATACAACATACTGTGATTGATGATAGATGACTCAGAAAGACAATAAAGTATCACGCATTGCAAGCACTTGCTTTGGCATCGCTCATATCAGTTCTTGAAGACAGTTAGGCAGGGTGGCCATACATGTGATAAAGTAGGTTATTGCCTCTGAAAGCTCTCTGAACCCAGTTAGTCCCTAAGGTGCCAGCCCTACCCTACCTTCAGCCTGACTTCAGACAGCTAACCACTTCTCTGTTTAGTTTGTGCAGAGAAATCCTTCAGTTTGCTTTAATAAAGGCATGCTTTTTTAAAAACAGAGCGTGTATTCTGCTAACGGTTCATCGTGCCAGTTTGGACGATGGTAGTCTTTTCAATTATAAGATGGAGAAACCAAAAAAGACTGCACTTTGTTTATTCTTTTCCATCGTCAATCTATATGACGTTGATTCAGCGTCCCAAAGACTATAATTTTGTTCTGTGCAATGAGAGAATAAAGTTTGATTCATAGTCCTGCTTTCAGGTTCTCCAGGTGCCAGGCAGAGCACTGACAACGGGACAGAAAGACTGGGGTTTGTTTTTTTTTCCTGGCATAGGGATGCCACTTTTCTAAAATGGCTTTCCTTTTTTCCGTGCTCTGTGCCAACGGAGAATGGCTTCTTCCTAGCATCTGTTTGCAAACCTTGTTCAGGCTAGAAGTGACTAATTTCAGTAAAGATTAAGATTTAGTTTTCTGCAAATTGGGTTCTCCCTGCACCAAAAAACACAAAGCTAGAGCTTTTTTTGTTGTTGTGGCCCAGTGTGAGGGTGCAGCGAACACAAAACAGGTTTAGGTACAGAAGCGGGAGCAAATACATAAATTATATTAACATATTGGCAGGCTTTCCTAACCTGCATTGCTTCTGGACATGAATCGCACCAAAAAAAGATTGTCCTAGTTGCTCTTTGATCCTGTTAAATAATTGATCAGTAGCTTTTGAAGAATACATCTGTTTTAGTCCAATATCAAATGACAAAGATTGAGTTATTTTGAGGTTGAGGTAATTGTGCATATGGGAAGTCTTTAATGCTGCCTTAACTCCAGCTTGGTGGCATACCCAACAGGAAGAAGAACAAGTCCCACCGGGATATCAAGCGGATGCTGTGTGAATGTCCGCCCCTTTCCAAAGAAGAGAGAGGCCAAGGGGAAGTGGCTTGCGGAGAAGACTGTCTCAATCGCCTGCTCATGATAGAGTGGTAAGCGCCAATTTGTGAGATGTCAAAGCACGGCTTCCTCCCTTGTTCTGAATGTGAGACTTTTGAGCCTTTAAACTGAATTAATTCAGACTGCTTCAGTCAGCATGACCTTTATGGTGCAACTTGTTACAATAGTTCTTTGTGGATTTAAATTCATGTATTGCCCTCTTTCTTCTGCAGACTGGAGTTTAAATTTAAGGTTGACTGAATTTCATAGTCTCATTCATTTCTATTTGAGCCCATCACAAAAACACCAGAGTATTTGCAGGGGAGGCTTGAACTGGAGTGCCGTAGATAATGCTGCGTGCCAGGATGGATGGAGACAGGAATGCAGGAGCTGCAGCTCTCCTTGCAACATCCTTGCCTTTAATTTTGTTTCTCCTTTGCATGCCTCTTCTCTTTCCCCAGGCTGCTTTCTTTGTTTCCTTCTCCTTTTGCTTTGAGTCCTTATACTGGAAGGAAGAAGGTTGGAGGACTGAAGCAACTGCTGCTTCAGGTTTCCAGTAAGCAGGAGATGAAGAACTGGGGCATTTGTACCATGGTTGAGAAGACAGGCTTGCTTTCTGCTTTGGCAAGGAAAGATGGAGATAATGAGGATGGGAAAGGAAAGACCTATGGCAAGGACCCTATTCTTGAGTCTGAGCAAGGAGCTAAGACTTTGGATCTTAATATGTGGTCAGCACAAGTCATAGATGGGGAAGAGAAAAATATTCCAGGAAAAAGGCGTATAGAAATATAATGTATTTTCTTGCATATCACACACCCTAGAATATAATACACAGCTTGTTTTTGAAAGGCAGAAAGATTTTTCCAGTTACGGCTGCATAGAGCAGGGACAGAGCCTAATCTTCAGCTGACTTGCCCTACTTTTTCTGCTTAGTTTGGGAACTAGGAGGAGAGAGACCAGGAACAGTTAACAGAAAGCAAAATTCCCTTTAAAAGGGTTAGCTTTATTAGTGGAACATCAAGACCCTTTAAAAGGGAGAGATGTCATTAGTGCATATGGAGGGGAGAAAAATGAGGTATTAGGACAATTCTTATCCCTCATGTGTCTAAAAAGTAGTACCGCAGCTACTGCGCTGTGGAGCAGGAATCAAAGCAAGATGCTTTTAACCCTAGCAGGAAATTGGCTTTCCTGCACCCCAGTTTTGGGGGTGTTGATTTCAGGGGACAAAGGTGCATGTTCTTTTTGAGAAAATACAGTACTGAGAAGAACTAGGTGTGCTGACTGAATTGTATAATGCAATACTATCACACTATTCAAACATGTTTTTAAAAGTCTCTTTGCCTAAATAAGCTCTGATTTTTTTAAACATAATCAAATCATTTTGCTATAAAAAGCATAACTACATTTATGGATTTTTTGCTGACTGTATTAGGGTTGGTTTGTATCGGTTTCTCTGCTGAGCTGCCTCCATTGCTGCCATCCTCCTCCTGGGAATTGATTGTCCCGTTTCCTCTGCTTAGTTCTTCCAGGTGCCCAAATGGAGACTACTGTTCCAACAGGCGGTTCCAGAAGAAACAGCATGCAGACGTTGAAGTGATCCTGACCGAGAAGAAAGGCTGGGGGTTGAGAGCTGCCAAAGACCTCCCATCGTAAGGATGACTTCTACTAGATTCGTTTTCCCTTTGCAGAGAAAGTCAAATAAGTTGTTTGCATTGAAAACGTCTTTAATTATAGTCCAAGTAGCTGAATTTCCCATGCTCCTAAACAGCCTTGTCCCCACCTACTCACCTCTCCATCTTCCTTCACCTCTCAGCATGTCAAATATGCGACTTAGTTCTCCTTATCTGCCTGTCCTCCAAGGGCAGACTAGATCCGTCCCAGTCTGGTTCCCACCCTCTGCATTTTACCAAAGCTATTCTCATGAAGCTTTTTTAACAATCTGCTCCTAGTCAAATGCTTGGGCCTTACCTGCGTTCTTGCGCATCTTGGCACTTCTGCTGTTTCTGCTGCTGTTGGTTGCGTGCTCCCTAACCTTTTGCTTTTATTAATCTGATCTCTCCTGTTTATTGTCCTTGACCCTCTCCTCCTTTTCAGCATCATCTATTTGCATAGCTGTCATGGCCATTTTTTGCACTGATGAATTCCTAAATCTGACTCTCCTCTCTTGACCAGTCTCCCTCTAGCTAATCCACATTAGTGCCTCTGACATTTTCTGAATATCATGCCATCAGCTTAAGCTTAATGCAGCCAACACTGAACTCACAAATTTTCCACCAAAACCCCTTCTATTCTTAACACTGATTGTCGATCGTGCCACTGCCCTCCTTTCGCTTAGTTCTATAAAACATGAGCAACATTTTTACTTGTCCCTGTCTGAACCTCTCTGGGAGAAATATTCTGCCATCTTCCACATCTTTTCTCCAGATCTTGTGGGTCAGACAGAGCCTGCAAGCCACATTTGGCCTGCAGAGGCAGGTCATGTGGCCTGTAGCGCTTCTCATATATGCTGGAAGGTAGGGCTTGGATTCAGAGTGAGCTAGGCAAATTGGAGGATTGGGCCAAGAGAAATCTCATGAGATTCAGCAAGGACGAGTGCAAAGTCCCGCATTCAGGACAGAGCAATCCCATGCACCGGTACAGGCTGGGGGCTGCCTGGCTGGGCAGCAGCTCTGCAGAAAAGGACCTGGGGGTGACAGGGGACAGTAAGCTGAACAGGAGCCAGCAGTGTGCCCTTGTTAGCAAGAAGGCTGCTGGCATCCTGAGCTGTATTGGCAGGAGTGTTGCCAGCAGATGGAGGGCAGTGATTCTTCCCCTCTATTCAGCACTGGGGAGGCCGCATCTGGAATCTTGTGTCTAGTTGTGGGCCCCCCATTACAGAAAGGATGTGGACACATTGGAGAGAGTCCAGCGGAGAGCAGCAAAAATGGTTGTGGGGCTAGGGGTCATGATTTGTGAGGAAAGACTGAGAGAACTGGGCTGATTTAGCCTAGAGAAGAGGAGACTGAGGGGACTTAATAGCAGCCTTCACTTCCCTGCAGGGTGGTTCAAAAGAGGACGGAGCTGGGCTGTTCTCAGTGGGGGCAGATGACAGGACAAAGAGCAATGGGCTCAAGCTGCAGCAAGGGAGGTTTAGGTTGATAGTAGAAAGAATTTTCTCACGAGGAGGGTAGTAAAACACTGGAACAGGTTACCCAGAAAGGTTATGGAAGCTCCATTCTTGGAGGGTTTCAAAACTTGGCTAGACCAAGCCGTGGCTGGGATGATGTAGCTGGGGCTGGTCCTGCTTGGAGCAGGGGGTTGGACTAGATGCGACTTCCTGAGCTCCCTTCCTCATTGTCTGTGATTCATGGTCCAGAGGATCCACCTCTGGATTGAGCCTGTGGAGTTGGTAATTTTTTCAGTGGGACCAGGATCTGTGGAGATAAAGCGACTGCTGCTCACCCCACCATAATTTCTAGGTTGAGCACTGCCAGGGTGAACCCACTAGTTTCTGGTTGCCCTACTACCCAATTTCTAGGTCTTGATCCTCATTGAGGATGTCTTTCTGCCATAACACCCTGAAGAAATGCATCATTTAATGATGGCTGGGGTCTGGTGGGGCTGTAGCTGGAACTTGCTTCGTATTTTTAGGAGAAAAATTAATGATATTAACTTTTAAATTAACACATGAACTTTTCATCATTTGAAACCTGTTTAAGAGGGAGACTGTGGCTCCTATCTATTTGTACAGTTCCTAGTATGAAGGGGCTCCACTCTTTATCTGGGCTTATGGACTCATCTGCTTATAGTATATTATAGTTGAATATTAGAGTGATGCCTATGGTCTGTTCACATAGCCCACCCATTTTGTCAGGTCCTGGTCAATAGTAGACAGTGCCTGCGCTGAAGAGCCTGCAATTAGACACAAGTGTTGTGAAAAGCTGTCACTCTTGGGAAGAAAGGCAAAGAGCACCGCCGTAGGAAAGTACTTCTGTACAGGCAAGACATGCACAACCATCTAGTTCGAAGTTGATTATGTTTTCTTGATGCTGAAAAGGAGAAAACTGAGATGTCCTTTATTGGACTCTTTTCCCAGCTGTCATTTGGCATTTCCCAAAAGCATCCTGGCAAAAGGAGCTGTGCTGGGAGGCACTGGTGGAGGACAGGGCTGTGTCTTCATGGATGAATTAAATGCAGCTTGGAAACAAATATGATGGTGTTTGTGTGGGAAGTAGACAGGATGGATAGCGAGGTCTTGTAGTGTTCGTGGACTACAGGGGGTACAGGAGCATTTGTACCTTAACTTAAGTAGCAATGGCCTCACCAGTAAATTTTGTTCCTTAACCATGTGGGATAATTTACTTGGGTGCTCGTCTCATTTAAATGGCATTACTTAAATATATATTTCCTATCTTTGCAGCATGTAGCTAGTCTTTTGAATTTTCTTCCTGGGAAGCATGGGCTTGGCTCTCCCACAAAGCCTTTTGTGATGTGCAGAGTTTCTTGTTTTGAAGAACACATGTGTATATTAGCAGTTGCATTGGGCTCTAAAATTTACATTTCAAAAGGTTGTGAAAAGGACGCGGTGGGTCTGTTTTGTCTCAAATCCCTGAGACTCTGGGGGGTTTAAGGCAGGACTTTGTCTCGTATTTTTTGTGCAACGATTCTTCTACTCCTGGAGTTTTCAGTCCGTTTCCTTGGAAATTTTGATTCTGTCGAAGCCGTCTAAGGACCCAGTAAGTTCTTTGCCAGCCTTTTACCAAAAGTACGCGTTTGGTCTTGTAGCAGCTAGAAATATTTCTGTCCTATTAGTTGTATGAGGTTCTGCGTGAGGTAGGTACAGGGGAAGAGTTGGAATGTGAATCTGCTTTTTGAAAGAAAGCATGATCATGTTTAAAACATGGCAGCTTCCTATCTGCATATTTAAAACAATACGCTTAACAGCGAGAACCTCCACATTGAAAGTCTGTGCAACCCATAAATTACCAGTCTTTCAAAGCCTCTTTGAGAGCAGCAGTTACATGCTCCTGCCACATTCCTGC